TCCGTTAATTGTTAAGATCAGCAATTAATTTCCTCAACTTTTCCAGGCTAAGAGGCCCGCTACACCTCTGTCTTTGTGCAGCAGCAGGCCAGTGCTCTCAGTGACTTTGTTGCTCCTCACGCTTTGCCAAAAATGACAAAACTGAATTACCAAGTTTTTTTTTTCATTGCATCTAAGTAGAAGTTTGAATAGTGACTAAGTGATCAGTTCTCATGAAATTAGGAAAACCTAATTTCCCAGTTGACCAGGGGCTTATCAGAGGCTGGTAGAGAAAATCTGTGATTGGAGAGTCAGAGCAATGCAGTGGGGCCGACAGCCTCGTTCTTCCCCCGTGTTGCCTGCCAAAGAAAAGGTGAAAATGCTTTTTCCACTCTGCTAATCAGTGTTAAAATACTGACATGACTTCTACAGGTCTAGCCTTCCTAAAACAAGTTCAATTAACACGTCTTAGAACTGAGCTTTGGAGAATTATTTTAGTGTGGTTTAAACCTGTTGTATTAAACGTAATTTTTTTGAGGAAGTAATTTTCCCCCTACCATTGCCATTGTTTTCCTATTTGAGTATAGAAACTAATGAGGTTTTCTTTCATTTTAAATTCTCTTAAGTCCAGACATGAGACATACTATGGTAGAAGCACTGCAAGTCTGGGTTTTTTACACAGAAAAAGTGTGTATGTAACACACAGCTTAACAAAGCCAATCCCGATGGGACTGTGACCATGCATGAAAAGTTTCAACCTGTACAGGGAGAAAAAGATAAATAAAACTGACTGTAAATGAAAGCTCTTTCCTGTCTTAACTGTATGGTATTATCATCAATCACTAAAACCTTTTTCCTGCACAATCTCTTTTCTTTTCACACCCCCCGCCCGCCCCTCCCCCCCCATACCCAGTTTGCTCAGTGATATTGTAATTTCAGTATTTATAGCCTTACATGGAGGGTTTTTTTTTTTGTGTTGCCTGTTAGGATATTGCAATGGTGACAGCAGGGAGTGAATAAAGCAGGTGGAACCAAAGGTTACTTCTTAATACTTACATAAAGTCTTGTCTCAGGGAATTGATGAAAACCATGTAATTTATTTATAAAGTGACCTGACAAAAATTTGGAAAAGAAATTACAAGATAGTACAAAAAGAGTTGTTCTTCTTTAATTGCTGTTGTTATTGTTATATTTGAACTATCTCTTGCTCTGTTTTTACAACTGAGAGGCCAGTTTAGGAAAAAATAATTTCTCTATTTTGTGCAAAGGGTGTGCGTGTGTGTATATATACACATCTGTGTATTCATTTTTTTATAGAGAGACATATACACAATGTAAATGCATCAGTTGTGCCATAGTATCACAGTAGTGGATATTGCATTTAGCACTAGCATTTTCTACCTGCCCTCAATTATTTTCTTTTGTAAAGGGCTCGTGTGTTCAACTGCATGTTACAAATTTGGCAGAGCACACAAATTCATTAGCACAGAGGTCAGGTGTGAAAAAAACACCTTGACATTTTGAAACGAGTCCCTGACCTGGCTGCTGAAATGGTTAGAAATACAAGATTTTGGGTAGATGTTTACTTCCCATTTCTGCGTTAAGCTAGAGAGTCGTCTGTTATTTTCTAAGGCAGGGATGAATTTCTGGTGTCATTTTTTCCAATTTTCTCTTTCATGATTGTGATTAAAAAGCCTTCCACTGTTGTGTTATTTTCTATTATTTGAGCTCAATAACTTTCTATTTTTTGATAGTTGAAAATAATTAGATGATGGCTGGATAAGTAATGCATCTGAAAACAGATAAATAACAGATGAAAATTACCCTGTTAGTGTAATAAGTCTGAAAAATATTTTTCCATCTGGGTAAGGTCCTGAGCTAAAGTTATCTTGTTAGTCCTTTTCTCAGAGAAGAGAAATCTTGTGGAGAATGAATCTGAAATAGTGACAGGGAACAATGCAGTTGCTCAGTGCACCTTTTTGGTAGGAAAAACAAGAAGAAAATCAGGGAGTACCATAAACCAATCTCTTTTGGTGCTGGAGCAGTTTTTAGCACTGGTGGTATACAAGAGCAGACTCCTATGGGCTGTGAGACCGAAATCTAGCCCAGTGATGGTAAGACGTTGTAACAAACGACAAAAAGTCACCAGTACTTTTGTGTTCATATTTCTCTGTCAGATGGAGCGGCTGCTACATGTCTCCCAGGGTAGCAGCTTAGTAAATGCACTGAATCACGTTTTCCATCTCTTGTCCCTGCCTCTCTAGGGAAATGAGTTAAGGATGTGCAGAGAAACAATGGAAATAATAATTTTCTCAGGAAAAGTGGCTTAATTTAAACCACTATTGACAAAGTGATACAATATGATTTAGGCTGTTATCATAAGCAGAGGCATTTGAGGGAGTAGTCTGTATATCTCTGTGCAATTCAGTCTGAAAATAGTGTCTATGAAATGCAATATGTTAGGTTTGAAAAGTTAAGTAATGTGAAGATAAGAGATGTTTTACCCTGGATGATATTGTCAAGTTTGGTAAATGCCAAAAATGCAGATAGAAAGGAAAATCTATGGGAACAGACGGCACACAAGGCAGGGCAAGGCTGGACCAGGTCGGAGAACAACAACGGAAGAGATCTACAGAAAGACAAAAATAGGCTCTTTCTTTGGGGGAAAAAAAAAAAAACCCACAACCAAAACCTACTAATACAGAAAAGTAGCATAGAATTAAAGTTCTGGCTTAAGATACTACTTTCTCCCTTTGGATCTGCAAAGTAAAATTAACATCTGTGTCTCCCTCGAGTACAGAGGTCAGTTGTAGAGCTTTACTGAGATGGTGGAGTTTGATAGACATAATCTACATCTAAGTGTAAGTACATGAAAGAATACATATAATTCTCACAATATATGAATTGGGTTTTTTGTTTTGTTTTGTTTGGGTTTTTACAAAATTTTCCTTTCCTTTCCAGATGAAGTGCCTATGTGCCCATAGGCACGGTAGAAAAATTGTTGTACTTTTTTTCTGATTTTAATGAGTTTTATTTGCCCTTAGGATTTCAGTAGAGTAGGCATACTTGTATTAAAACAATATTCTCATAGTGGTGTACAAGCGAACAGAAGTGGCACCTATAGCTATAAAGGTTATTTTGTGGTGACACAGTTTTCCTAGCGTACAATAACAAAACCACAATTTAAGCATTAATTTCACTTTGGAGCAAGAGGAAATACTAAAATAAAATCTTTGTGTTGCAGTGGTTATCCTACTTGTTACTGAACTACAGCTGTTTCTGAGGATGTAGCATAGCTCTGCAAATACCCTGGAACAGTTGAGGATAAGTTTGAGAATAACTCGGTGTAGTAAGATATATAGAATGAAAACACCAAAGTGCACAAGGATGCCCAGGTTTGTCCAAAGTACACTGGGTTGGAGAGTAAGCGTAAGGGATTCATGTAGTGTGTCCTCCAAAAAACTATACCAGAGGATTATTTAGATAGTGCTTTTTATTTATTTAACTACTTCATTTTCTTTGGTGGGGGGTTGGGGCAGGCGATCTACTGATCATTGAATAGGCCTGACCATACCTTGGTGATGTCCATCTGAAACTCATCATGAGCAAATAGTAATGAAATCTGTCCTTGAACTTGGGGCGGGGGGGGAAGTGCAATTGCTTGTATTTAAAGGTGGATAACTACTGTCCCAGCTCAGAAAGTGTTTCCTTCAGATGATATGTAATAGCTTTTTTTCCTTTCTTCTTTCTTAGAATTTTTGCTTAAAAAAAAATTGATTTCTAATCCCTGATAATCAGTAGCATCTATTCCTTCTTATTGCAATAATCTAGCTTGCTAATTTGACAAAGAGTCTGTCAGCATTTCTTTTGCATATTTTGTTCCTTTGTGTGCTTAAAAAAACTCCTGCTACACTGTATATTATTCAACCATTTGTGGCTTGAAACATTGCCTAAATGCTAGCTTATGTTTGCCCATTTTCAGGCCATAGCTTTTTATGTCTGACAACTCAAGTCTTGCAGCAATAACACCGAGTTCCTGTTACGCTTAGAAAAACACCAGCCATTTAAAAATATCATCTGCCACCATGTTATTGCACAATGGATATATCTACTTTGGAGGGTTGCAATGTTGTATTTGACTCACTAGCTGGTTTTTAGACATGAGGTTTTTATATAAATTCCACAATGCTTTCGCATTTCACAGCTGATCACTTTTTGGAAAAGTCAAAGTGGAAGATTTCTGGCTGACTTCCACATGTAGAAGAGCCGTCAGAAAGTCCTTCCTGTATGTGCTCATTGTACTAACATTAAGCCAAAGTTTGTAGTGTCTTCACTGCTTGGAAGTACGATCTCTGTGCTGTCACCAGTCTTATCTGTTAAATCCCAATGAGTGTGAAAAACGAGAAAAATCTGGGTTTGCTTGGCTGTTTCAACAATGTGTTGAGAATGGCCAGATTGCTGGAGAAGACGATTCACTTGGAAACCTCAACAGCCCAGCCTCCTCATCTTTAGGCACATGGAGCTCATCCGAGTGTGGAAATAAAAATAAATAATGCAGTGAAAAAATTTGCAGAGTATTTTGCTGAAGTGTTTCAAGTTTGGATCTGCTGTAACTAATTTAAATCTTCTGTTGGGATTTATGCAGGCAAGGGGTCAGGTTTAAGACATTTGTAATTTAAAGATTTCCTGCTACTACACCTTTTCTACTTTTATGTCCTGTAATACCATTTTTCTGCGAAGAAAGTCCTTTTTATTCCCTCTTCCTTTCCTGCTTTGAAGAGAACATTTGCTTCTCCGTTTATCTGAGGTAATGAGAACCGAGTAGCTCTGAATTCTTCAAATCAGTCTAATTGGGCTTCTTTTAGTGTATAGAATATCCTTTTTTTGCACAGGACTTTCATTTCTTTGTGCAATCTCTCCATCCTCAGCACTCAATATCTTTACAAGCTTTTTTAACTACAAAAAAAAAAAAGAGGCAAGCGATTGTCATCCAAATGACTGTGGTCTCTTCTCTCTTGCAGGCTGATTCACGGAGGGCAGCTGTTAAATGGCTTGGCGGGGCCAACTGTGATGAATGCGGCACCATTTCTTTCCACGACGTGGTTTTCTCCAGACGAACGTGCCACAGCAACGGCCATCGCGTCGCTGCTCAATTACCTGGGTGCTGCTGGCGCGTTTTTAGTGGGACCTCTGGTAGTGCCATCTCCTAATGGAACGTCTCGCCTGGTAACGCAGAGCAACACAGAGCACATCAAGGACCGCATTGAGGCTGTGCTGTATGCAGGTGTGGTTCAAAAATAAAAACCAAAAAAAAAAAAAAGGAAAAAAATTATAAAAACTTTATATTCTTTCATGTGTGTTTGGTACTTGTGAACCACTACCCTCTAGTGGCTGGTCTGCACAGAAAACAGTTACTGACTGGTGGAAAATCATGAAGTTGTAAAATGTTGTACCATCAGAAGATTTTTTTTTTTCTTTCCTTTTTTGTAGGACAGATTTAAAAATAGCCTTTTGTACAGACTGATTCCAAATGAAGTACTTCAGTTGTTTGTATCGGCTGATCTTAGGAGAGTTTATGGTTTCCCAGAGGTTCCAAACTGGTTTTTGCTTCTTGAATTTTCATTTAAAAAATGTGTCCATGACAGGTTGGTGGTGTTCTTTTGTTTCTATGAGGAGAGAAATCCAATAGCCTCTCAGCATTAAATCCTTTCCTGGATTAAGTCAGCTTTAATTTATAACTTGCATATGCGTTTCAAATGTGATTAGAGTATTAGTATTTAAGAATCTAATATTAAATCTAAAAATCAATAGATTTGGGTTTTAACTAAAATCTCTTAGTTCATACATGGTGAACAATTTCAACAAAATGACAACAGTTTAGTGGAAAAAAACCACCGATATAAAATTCACCTGATATAACTTAGATTATGTGTCCTTGCTCTTTTTCATGCAATGGCGTCTATGGCAGTTTGTGTCACTTACAAAAATTAGCTGCACGTTTTAAGAAAAAGAGTTGCTTAAGTACCTTAAGAGCCTATGATCTGACTCGTAGTGGGTATAAATTGATATAGCGTTAAGAGCAGCTGAACTTTACCACACCGTGACAGTTGCACGTTTGGTTGGGTTTTTCTCCCCTTACAATTGCAGCCTCTGAAATGCAGCCAGGAGTTAGTCCTGAGTGTTCCAGAAATCTTAAAGTATATATATACTGTGTCGTTCATATGCTGGTTTATGGGACTGAGTTAGCTGTTGTGATCATTTATTCCTGGACGTTATTCTTACGGAAATTTGTCAAGTTAATAGTGCAGTTGGGTGAGGGCCACTTTACTGTGCATTCTAAAGGAAGTGGAGTAGAAGTTGGATCGCTATTTCGGCAAGTATTCTTGAGTAACCTATGTTTTACTGGACTCAAATGTATTGGAGCAAGAAGGAAATTTTGGGTTGGTTAATGCCTCTTTCAGAGGTAAATATGATGTTAGACTCCAAAGATCTCATGGTAGATGAAAACAGCCAGTGTGAAAGAAGGAAAAATAAAGGCAAGCCAGCTTTTGTCTTGAGAAGCAGTAGATAAAGGATGGAAAAATGTACCAAAAGTACTATAGCTCTCAGATACTCTGTGAAGAAGTTCTTCACAGAGAGGGTGGTGAGGCACTGGAACAGGTTGCCCAGAGATGTTGTGGATGCCCCATCCCTGGATGTCTGCAAGGCCAGGTTGGATGTGGCTTTAAGCAACCTAGTCTAGTGCAAGGTGTCCCTGCCCATGGCAGGGGGGGTGGAACTAGATGATCTTTAAGGTCCCTTCCAACCCAAACCATTCTATGATTCTATGATTCTATTTCATCCACCTAAAGGAAGTACAGTACTGTGCCTAAAACCACTGGTTCGAGTCTGCTAGCACTAGAAATGTTGCCTTCAGCAGCCCATTAGATTCACTTTCTCTTCTGTGACCTTTTTTTAAGCATTTTCTTCAGAAACTGTGATGGACCTTGCTTACCACCAAGGTTCTTGCCTGCCCCACGTCTCAGCATGGCTCTTTCTGCCTTCCTGAGCCGGCAAGGGTTTGGGAACAGCCTGTATAGACCTCTTTGGGATCGTTGGTCCCAGCATAAGATGACCTTACAGCAGGTCTTCAGCTTCATAGGAAATGTGTTTTCTTACTTAGTATTTCACAGTGCTTTGAGCAGAGCTGATTTCTTTGTGCAGCTGCAGTTGGGTTGCATAGGGTGCGTCTTTTCAGGAGCTATAATGCCTTTCTTGTTCAGGCAGTGAGAAAGAGATGGTTCTTGAATGTGTACTGGCCCATGGAGAATTGCAGTGACAGTGGCAAAATGTTCAACTGGTGTAAAATTGGTAGGAACTGTCCCAAGAGAAGGTTGTTTTGAATTCCTTTTGGGATTTGTCCAGTCTCACCTCAGCCTTGTTTCCCTGGAGAGCTGAAGGAGCAAGATCCTCGCTGTCTGCCTCCCCCGTGCTCTGTTATGCCAGGTAGGCTCCAGAAGTGGAAGGAAGGGTGCCTCATGGTGGGTGACTACCTCGAGGTAGTTGTATTGCTCTGTTCACCTGTGGACCAAAAAAATACCTGCGAGGGGTGGTGGGTTATTATTTATCCCCTTAACCATCTGAGCAGAAAATGAAGCTCAAACTGACTTCACTGGTTACTAGAAAAAGTGTTACAGAATGTGACGGAAGGAGGAGTTGGACCCAAGTACCCCGCTTCCCCACTTCTTTAGCAGGTGTGGTTGGGCTTGGTAGGACCTTTCCTTCAGATGCTATGGGAAAGCTAGTTTCACGGGCTGAGCACCCTGGAGTTGTGTTTGGGATGGAGTTTGTTGCTGTTGTGTGAGGTAGTGTTAGATAAGCAGCCTCCAAAAGTTAGGGGCTGACTTTTAAAAGATGCTAACGATGTGAATTGTTAACTTGGGATCAATAGCATGCCAAGAATGTGGTAATTTTCCAAGGACTTAACCTCAAACATGATTACGAAGCAATTGCATATAAACCCATTCTGAAATTGCTCAGTTAACTCGTTTCTTCTGTGTTTTAATAAATTGCTGTTCCTTTACCTCAAAGGCAGACTTAAGAGCTCAGCTGAACTACCACAGCCTCTTTCTGTGTCATTTGTGTCTCTGCACATTCAGGTTCACAGCTGAAATAGTACAGATACAGTAAGTCAGGATTGAATTGTATTACCTGAGCCACATAAGGAAACTGGTTATTCTGCATTGCAGCTGGAGCTTTTAGCCATGTGCTTTCCTGAATGTCAGTGTAAACCACTCCCCCCCCGACTCTGGCCCATGGCAGGGGGGTTGGAACTAGATGATCTTTAAGGTCGCTTCCAACCCAAACTATTCTATGGTCCTATGAAAATCATTATTCATTCTTTAAAAAGTGTGTGTGAGGTACCCTCATTTCCCCTCTACATTTCAGGACAAGATGGGGAGGAGAGTTTCCAGTTTTGGGTAGGTTTTTGTGCCATGAGGACCCTGTCAGAAGAAAAAAAGACCTTGTTCCAAGGAGTCTTGTGCCTTACTTCTGAACCTCTTTTTTTCTGTTTGGGGCTTACACAGGCAGCAGGGTGCCTGCTTCTTAGGCTAAGTTGCAAGCATCTCCACTTTGACAGTCACAGGTCGCTGTGGCACGACACCCAGCTTTTGTGAGGCATTCCAGATTCACTCCTCAGCAAGAGATATACACGGCTGTATTTCCGCACACCAATTTACGTTGTCTTGCACAATTCTGAGTGCTTTGCTGCATCCATTGCACTGTTGAGAAGCCAATAGTCATCTCCTGTGGAGAGTTCCTCTTCCCTGACTCCAGCTCCCTCACTCTCATTGTTCACCTATTTCTTACCTTTTATCTTTTGCTTACTTATATTTCCTACTTACAGACTAAAACTTGTCCTGGAAATATATTTTTCTTTATCCGGTCTGGTAGGATAAATGATGATAAAGGTGTGGGTTTCCTAATGAGGAAGCAATGCAACATGTAAGAAATTGGATGCGTTTGGCAGTATCTGGACTTATGATAGAGATGTGTTACGGCACTAAAGACTTGCTCTTCATCAGAGGGAGCTGCTTTAGTTTACAAAGTTAATTCTGCTCTTTTCTTCTGTTCATGAGGGCAATGCTTGTGAGGCAGATTTGTTAGCCTGGAAAGTATAACACTGGGAAACATTAAAGAGTTGCAGGAAGGTACTATAAGGACTTCATGCTGAATTTAATAATTAAAAAAAAAATGAAGTGTTACTATATTGCTGCTACTGCAGCAATTTTGACTGGCAGGATTCTTGAGGCAACCCGTAGAAGAGGCCCCAAATGGGCACCTGTTATAAAATATTACTGTGACTTAAAAGAATTATCAACGTGTTTTACATTCTTTAGAGAAAGACTTAGCCTTTCCCCTTACGGCATTGCAGTATAATGAAGTTAAATAATGAGCACCTTGGACAAAGTTCATGGGTTTGTGTGGTCACATTCCTGGTGGCTATACTTGTCTGCAGTCTGAAATCTTCCTTTAATATGCTATTAAAGCATGTGTATGCAAGTACGTATGTATACTTATAAACCTATATGTAGACCTAGATACAGGAGAAGGGAATAAACAGCTTTTGGCAAGCCTTGCTTCCCTGTCATCATGTAGTGACAGAGCATCTCATGCCTTTCTTAGGCTGGAGATGATCAGTTACAGCCGGTTCTTTATTCACTGCTCATGGTCTCAAAAACGATGTACACAAAGATAGAAATTAATCTGTTTACTGGAGACCGGAGGGGATATAGTGACAAGGTTTACTTTAAGTGCCCTTGACCCTGGAAACATGCAATTAGACCACAGCAGGAAAAAGAGACCCCACATAATTCAAAATGAATCCTTTAGTATTTGATCGTGAAGAATGGCATTGTCACATTCCTGGTACGCCTTGAGAAGAAATCTAGTGTTGACTTTTTTCAGAATAGAAGCATTCATTTCCCTTCCCCATCTCCAGCTGATCCATTTAGACTACAAGTGTTACTTACTTTTCAGTTTCCTGTATTTATTTTCTTCAGGTTTATCAGAAGAGCTGGCAAAGTGCCATGTTAATACCGATTTTTTTAAAAAAGAGAAGAAAAAAGAAAATGAATGCAATTGAGTATCCAGCTCTGCTGGAATTTATTTGTGGTGTTGGTGAACACTTCTTTGTTATAAGATCACAGGTTCTTTTAAGATAACACACTTCAGCTATACATTTTTCTCTGCAGTAGCAAAGAATCTTGTGTTCATAGTGGATGGGAGAAATATTGGGATTGAAGACTGTGGAGAACATGATATACATTGTAAAGGGCCTGTAAAACAAATTAATTTGACTGTGGGTAAAGTTGTTTTTCTTCTGAATGTCTGATCACGGGGCTTGCTGAGTGTTTTCTGTGAAGTGCTCATCACTTTGCAAGTTCAGGTCCAAATTTCAGCTATGAAATTTTTCAAAGATCTAGAATATCTGCTGCTGAACAAGAGGAGCATCTACAAACAGCTGTATTCTTTCATTTTTATCCCTATTACCTGTGCTCCTTCTGTTCCTGAGCTGTTGCTGCTCCTGCACTTTTCTCTTTATATTCCGTTGCCATGTAGTACTGTTGGTGTCTGAGATGCTGCCTTCCTTGACCTTTCGTTTGCCTTCATCATCCTGTGCACTGAGTAATAGTCATTCCCTGCCCTGGGGCTTCCACAGTCCCATCTGTTTAAAGTCTCTAGCACGCTATTACCTGCTCTGTGCTACTTCCATCGCAAGGAAACATGTCCAAATGCGGTTCCCTCTGAAGAGAAAAAGCAAAAGCTTTCCTTTTGCTTCACTGAGTTCCCCATGTGTGATCCTGGTGCTCTGCAGCTCCTGTCACTGGAATGGACTGCCTGTATTTCTTCATCTCATTGATTCTCCATCTCAACTTGAAATCTTGCTTGGGGAGGAAAAGAAATTCTCCTTTGAGTTATGGAGTTCTGTTGTCAGGAGCAGTAAAGCACTTGTGGTGGGATTTATGTATCAGAGGCTAGCTGATAACAATGCTGTGCGGAAATAAGTCTTTTGGTGCTAACATCTGTTTTCGGTTTTGTTTTTCTTTGCCCTCTTGCTTAGAATTTGGAATGGTTTCCCTGATATTTTCCGCAGCGTTGGCCTACTTCCCCTCGCGCCCTCCATTCCCGCCCAGCGTGGCTGCAGCGAGTCAACGGCTCAGCTACAGGAGAAGTTTCTGCAGACTCTTAAGGTAGGTCTTCATTGGCTTTCCACTTCAAAGCAGATCAGAACCTAAATAAATAAAAACAAGCGTGCTTTAATCTTCTCATTGAGCAAAAAAGTTGGTTTGTAGTGCTTTTAAATAAAATAAAATTAAATATTAACGCTGAGACATAAGAGAATGCTAACTGCTAAAAAGCAGACATTAAATTTTAAATCACTGGGTATTTCTAAAGCCTTCCTGCCAGAGTCCTTCAGCACCAGCACTGCTTTAGTCATCCTGTTAGCACAGCTTTTTTTATGCAATGCTTGTGTTACATCAGGTTCTACAAGATTGTTAACAATGTGTGTACTGCTGGGTGTGAGATAACAATTAACAGCGCTGAGCATAACTAACTAATAAGCTGCTTTCGTCCATGTTTATTATATTGGGATGAATTCAGGGTTTGCTTGTCATTCAAAGGAGTATTCAGCTGTGGGAGTAATGAATGAACTATCTGAAACCATTGTATGATTTCTTAAAACTCATTAATGATAGAATATGAAGTGGGCGTGGGAGACGCATCTCCAGATGTGGGCAGGTTCAAAGGTGAATTAGTTTCCTCTACATTTTTGAGTTTAAAAGAAAAAAAAAAAAGGTTAATAAAGGAAATGACATCTTCAGCTTTGTAACTTCTGCCACTTGGGCTCTTTTGATAACACAGTGGCCTTCCCACCACACCACACCACACCACACCATACCCTCCCCTCCTGGTGTTTGTAGAATGTCTTTTGTAATAGTAATCTGATCTCAGAGGAACAGCTAAAGCAACTGTAGTAGTAATGCTGAATAATTGTGAAGGTCCGTGCTGTGTATGTGATACTGCACAGATGAACTTCCAGGGGCAAAGAAGAACCGCTTCCATGGTGCGGAGTAGGGCTGACTTCCCCCTTACTGCGGATGGTTTCTTGGGTGGTGTAGTGATAGGAGCTGAATCTGCATACAGAAGGCTCCTTGAAACTTGACAATTGCTTTAGGCATTTAGTTCTTACAGACCTATTGTGCTTTCTAAAAGTGCATTTAGAGCCAGCAGAAACAACTCATCCCTTGTGGTCATTATTTTGGGGGGTTTTATTTTATTTTTGGAGGCTTTTGTTTCAGTTTGGGGGAGTAAATAGTTGACAAGATGCTTAATCCTGTGTGTTCATCCTGGAGCAGGCTGGCAACTGGGTGGAGGTGTGAGTACGGCTGGCTGGTTAGTCTGCAAAGTGACCTATTAAAAAATAGCAATTCCCATAAGCACACTTAGTGCACACAATAATGCTGTTACGCACCCAAGCTGGTGTGTGGTGAGACCCTGCCCGAGGGCTGTGTTGTAAAAATGTTGCTGTTGTACAGAAATCCAAACAGCAACTGACTCCGCAGGTGAGATATAAAATTTCTGTTGACAGTACTCCATTTGGGAGCTTTATAACCATTAGATTCCTTGTTCAGAGGGTTGTAAACAGTGGACCCGAGATACTAGTAAGGTCAGGAGGTAAACAGAAAAGCTGGATTAGTATTCACAATCAATGAAACGTAAGAAAACAAACTGGATGCTTAAATAATGAACATGGCTTATAATGTCTCCAAGAACCAAGAGGTCTTTTAAATATGGCCAGGTAGCTCATTTTACCTTCCTTCCCTCTGGTCTTTATGCGTTTTTCCATGCTACCCCTTATCAAAGGCACCTTTTCATTCTTCTGTACATGCTACATGGAACAATTCATCATTAAACCCACTTATCTTGGGGAGTCTTTCAGCAACAATTCATCAAGGAAGGGGGTTTTATGAAAGAAAATAGTATCTGCTGTGCTTCAAGAGAAATCCGTCTTCTGGTTCGTTAGCTTCTAAGCTGTGTTGCCTGCCTAATCTAGGCTTCATAATTCTTGGCACAGAGAGCCTTTCTTTTGCCTTAATGGTGTAGACTGAAGGTAATCAGCTAATGAGTACTAGGGAATCATGATTTCCTCTTACTGCAAACTTAGCCTCTGGTATAAGAACTGTGCATAAGGCATTTAGGATTTGTGAGCTGGTGGGCTGACCCAACTGCACACCAAAAAGCACTCATGAGAATTGAGATGTTCATAATTTCCCACTTCTCTCCCCCAGGCTGCAGTTTTATTACTTCAAAATAAAAGCTGCCTAGCATAACTTTACCATTGAAGTCACTGACCTTTTTCTGGGACGCCAAAAGGATCTACCACATCCTTGCAACTCCCACACTCATTCATACCTTCGGGTCCTTGAGCAGTCATCTTCATGAGCTGCTTCTTGCAGAGTTGTGTTATACACATCTTCAGTCAACCAACCCTGTAGGCTGCTTTTTAGCACTTGCTTAGGGACTTGGTTCTTCCTCCTGATTTGGAGGATTCCTGCTTCTGACAGATTGTAACGATTAGCTGATCTCTGGTTATCTCCTGATACCAACTCTCTCAGCCTGCAGTGGGAGACGACAGATTAGTCATGGTTTGGGAGCTAAGCCCAAACCTTTTAACAGTCTATCACACACTGTGACAAGTGTAGTTTAAATTTCCATTAGAAAAAGTACAGTGCCCTTTCTCAGTTTCTTGGGTGAAGCAAATATGACTTTTTTCTTTTTTTTCCCTCTCCTATTTCAGAATATGCCACAAATTTCCATGGAAAAAATTATCATACAAATAAATAGTTGATAAGTCTTTAAATCTGCATTAAGAAAACATGTTGTGATTTTTGCTTTGAAGTAATTGGATGCTTTTAGCTGGTTACGTGCCTTTTATATTTTCAAGGGTCTATGTATGCAATTTTGAAATTTCATAACAGGACTTTTGTGCATCTTTATTTCCTTAATGAAACTTTCATATGGCATCACCATCCAGTGATGGAAGTTGTTCAGACTGTGCCTGGTGTTAATAGGCGCTGTCAAAGTTATTCTGAAAATGGTGACTGACTTTGATGAGGCTCCCCTCTGAACCAGCCTCTCTTACAGATTCTAGTGGCATTAAGTAGGTTTCTGGGAAAAAAAACCCCAAACCAAACCAGAAGAAAAAGCCAATTTGTATTCCAGCAGAATGGTTTAACAGAGAGGCTAACGCTGATATCCTGTCATAAGGGCTGATAGGATGGAAAACAGTGTGGGTTCACCAACTGATGGTGTGACAGACAGCACATTTTTCTATTTTCAGTGGAGCAATTGCAAAATTGCAAAAACTAATACAAGTGACTGGAGCCACAAAAAGTGGAGCTGCTGCTAAAGATATATGTTTCAAATGGCTTCAGCACTTAACATAGCCAGCAGTGGCTTCTGCATGACAAAAGGTCAGGATGGCATCTGGTGACTGGTGCTGCTTTGTCACTGCCACGTACCCTTTCTCCTGGTCACCTTTAGTCTGGAGACTGGGCTGGGGGACAGCATGGGGAGCCTCTGTCACTGGAGGATGTCGTGACACAGAGCTGGTTCTCTGGTATTGGGGCTAGGAGTTGGATGAGCCAGTGGGTCTTGTTGCTTGAGTAACAGAAGACAAATACAGCAGAGGAGATCTCGGTCAAGTAAGTTACAAAGTACTCACCCCCTCCATAAGTAGCTCTTTATGAAGATGAGGTTTAGATACCCAAAGGTTTTGAATATTGAGCAAGTGTTGTTTCACAAGAGCACATTCAGACTTTTCCCTCTGCAGTCTATGACATGGCTATATATAATGTCCGTGCAAAACGGGCACTTTCCGTTTTATTTTTTTCTACAGATGTTGAATTAGCTTTTACATGGATAGTATTAAATAGCATCAGAAAATCTGCCTTAAGACATGCCGAGATGATACAAGATAGGCTAGGATAGGAGCATGGCATTCTTAAGAGAGAAAAAAAGTTGTCAGGATGACAGCAAACGCTTCAGCATTCAGAGAAATGTAAGGAGTGTGTGAAAGAGCTGAAAGTTTGGGAGTTGTTTTTCTTTGCATTAAAAATTAAATCTGACATGAATGATACGGAAAGAGGAGGATATGTTCATGTGATGAAATGTGTTATTCAAGAAGAGGATGTGTGAAAAAGAACAGTGCAAAAAAACGCTGGCTGGTGCGCCGTGTGTGGATCTTCTAGGGGAGTAAACCAGCGTAAGCTGCAAACCTCTGAATGTTTTGGAGAGGATTTGAAG